GTTCTCTCCTGGAGTGGTAAACGTCAAACACAAATAACCCAGTGGCGATTTCAGAATTATTCGGTTTTAGAATTAATCATGAAGGCTGTTCACTGACTCATCATGGTGCAGGAGGCCATTCAGCCCATTGTGCCTGCACTGGGTTTTCAAAAGTGCGTTATTACCTAGACCCCGTCTCCTGCATTTTCCAATTAATTATCCAATGTCCTTTTGAATGCCTCACCTCCACAACATTTCCAGGCAGAGCAAACCATAGCCCAGCTACTCACTGTATGAAAAAGTAAAAAACCCTTTCCAGTTCCAGTTCAGCAATCTTGTCTCAGAGGATATGCAATAGCCATTATCCCAGCTTGTTCTCAAACTGTGGGTTAGGTGTTATAGGGTCTGAAGCTGCAGATCTCAAACTGAATCTGGACAGCAGTGAGATCTTGCTAAAAGTACAGATTGTTTTCTGTTGGTGGTTGTAGCTCAACCATCTTGGGTCTTCAGGGTTTCAACAATAAACCCTCCACACGCTCCACCCCCCACCCCACAACAATGTTCACTCTGGGGTCACACAAAGTCTGAGGCATTAAAATGAGGTCACATTGAATAAAGGTTTGGGAGGCAGCACATTACTTCAGCACAATGTTCTAAATTGCCCTGTGACCAGCAAGTCACATAATTAAATTCAGGACAGCTAGGCATGGATAAGGAAAGAAAGTTATGCCCAGATTTCCAGCAATACCTATGCAAAAATCCATTCTCACAGTTACCAGCCAGTGTTCCTTCCAACTTTCTGCCTGAATTAATTCAGCTGTGCATTCCAGTAATATTCCAATCCAGTGTCATTCAAACAAAACCTTATTTTTTTTCAATCACTTTGCGATGTATAAGCATGCATGGTTATTCAGTGTTTTCCCACTCTCTACTAAAGTTGATCTGTAATCGTAACTATGAAGAGGCCAATTCTAATTTGTTATTACCTCTCTCCCATTCCCTCCAAAAACAACAGCAGCAACTGTTATGAGCAACATCAGATTGTCCTCCAACACTCTCACGAAGGTGTGATAATACTCACGGTTCAATTTCCTGGAACTTCACAGCTAACATTCCCAATGGGAGCACCAGCCCAAGGAGGACTGCTTCAGTTCATGGGAAAGATGCTGAACCATCAACTCAATGAGGAACCAGCAATAAATACAGCCTTTCAGGGATTTGCCAAATCCCGGGAATAATTTGGAGGGGTGGTGAGTAGGTAAAGCTTTGTGTTGTCAGCTGCATACAGGCTAAAAGGTGCTGTGGTTTTTTTTGGATTCTGTTGCTGTTCAGTTGCATGTCAGTGAAATCAGGAGATAAAGAATTTATGCAGGACCAGGAAAGGAAGCAGATAATAAAACTCCAGACTCTCAGGATTGGGTTTGTATTGTCCAATCTCCAGAATTTCGGATGTGAGAATTTATCTTAAGAGACATCTCAGATGTACAGAAAACAGGGAGGTAACACACAGACAAAACAAACTTGGGGTAAAGCCTAATGCAGGAGCAAATTACTGCAGATGCTAGAATCTGTACTGAAAACAAAAATATCACAGTGAGTCAGGCAGCAGCCGTGGAGAGAGAACAAGTTAACGTTTTGAGTCTAGATGACTCTGCTTCAGCTTTGAAGAAGAATCATCTAGACTCGCAATATTGGTTTGCTGTCTCTCCATGGATGCTGCCTAACCCACTGTGATCTCCAGCATTTTTTGTTCTCAGTTGGTGTAAAGCCTTCTGCAAAGGATTAAATCCACATATTAAAAGTTATGGCAGAACTGGCAGAGATACTAGTACATATAGATATCTTTAATTAACATGTTCAGATGTGTGATAACGAACATTGGAGCAGGTTGGACTTGAATCCAAGGCTTTTTGGCTCAGAGGTAGGGACATGATCTCTGTCACCTCCCCAAGTATATACATGCAAAGCAATTCATTGGAAGAATGAACAGTGTGGGAGGACTGGCAGACAGTTGAGGTGAGCTCCTATACTTAAAGAAAGGAGGCTGTACAAGTCCAGGGAATATAGATCATCATCCCTAACATTGGTGGTAGGAAATCTAAGACAGAGATTTTCCTCAAATATGCAACTTTTTAAAAATTGGAAATTAAATATACCAAAATCTCACAGATTTCAAAACTGCACATTGTATTTAGCCAACCTCATTGAATTGTTTGAAGCAGCAGAAAATGTAAACAAGAATAATGGAATAAATTTGGATTTTGGAAGTTTGAAAATCCCTTGGATAAGATATCACAAGGGGGGGGAAGAACAGTGTGTAAAGGTAATATAATTGGTCTAGTGACCCAAACATCCAGGCTAATGCTCTAGAGATATGGGTGCAAATCTTTCCATGGCAGCTGGTAGAATTTAAATTTAAGTAATTGATAAATCAGGGATTTAAAGCTAATCTCAGTGATGGTAAAGATTAAACATTAAACTATTTTATATTTCTGTAAAAACCCCATCAGGTTTCCTTGCCCATCTGCCGTCCTTATCTAGTCTGACCTACATATAAATCTAGACCCGGACCAGTGTGGTTGACCCTAACTGCCCTGTAAAATGGCTGAGCAAATCACACTGTTCAAAGGCAGCTCAGAGGGGGAGCAAATGCTAGCCTTGTCCATATCCTATTAACAAATAAAAAAAAACTCACTGATTGGCCAGAACAGGTTGAGTCAAAGAAATGGCAGCTTGACATTAGCCAATTTATGAAACAGCAAACAAGTTAATAAGATCAAATTTGTAGAAGTTGGGAACTCATGCTGGTTAAATACAACTGAGACTGTCAGTGTCTACCATCTACATAAATGACTTGGACTCAGGAATCAGAAATATATTTTTTAAATTGGCAAATAACACCAACTGATGCAAGAAGGAAATATACAAATCAAAAGTTAGAACACAAGATAAAGTTAAAAGGCTTGCAGGAAGGGCATGTAATTGACAGTGAAACTTCAATACAGTTAATTGCAAGGAAGCATAAAGCAGCCACACATTCTCTTGATAATAAGATATAAATGGGGTAGAGGAACAGAGGGATGTAGAGCTATGCAATCACCGAGCTTCTATAGTAGACACACATTAAGTACTCGGGTTTGTTTCTAGAGAGGTGAAAGCTGGGTTGCATTTGGTTAGACAGTGCATGGGGTTCTGTGCACAGTTTTATTATAAAAAAAGAGGAGAGAAATACAGTTCTCTTTGTCCTTAAACTTCTTTTCCTTTGGGAACTAGTGGGAGGTAATGGGAGAATTCCCATTAAGCTCTATGATGGGCACTCCTTCCACAGCCAAGATGTTCTGGGACTTGAAACCAGACCTAGGGATATTACCACTGCATCACAAAACTTCCTGAAGCTCAGGTGAAGATGCAAAAATGATCGGCAATCCAGAGCTGGTTTGGCATTACAGGCCAGAGTTCTTTTCTCTATTAGAGGCAGCTAAGGAGTAGTTTGAGAGAGGTCTTTCAAATTCAGGAAGGGCTTGATGGGGCAATGGTGGAGAAAACCTTTCTACTTATGGGTGATGGTGTAAGCAGTAGGAGTCCAAAGTTACCCACAATAAGACAGTTACTAATAAATCCATCACGGAATTCAGGAGAATCTTCTTCACCCTGGGAATGGTGAGAATATGGAATCTGCTACTGCAAGGGTTGTTAAAGCAAACAGCATATATACATTTAAGAGGAAACTGGATTAGCAAAAGAGAGAAAGGAATGTCCTTTGCTCCTGAATATCATAGTGAGATATGATAAAAGACTTGCATTGATTTGGCACCTTTCACAACTTTAGGCCACCCCAAAGCCATCTATAACCAATGAAGTACTTTTTTGCAATATACTCACTGCTTCAATGCAGGCAATGTGTACACTGCAGCTTCCACAAACAGCTCCTTGATAATGGCCCTAACCGGTTTGCATAGGTTCAGGGTTAAGTACGGGCCATGGAGAACTTCCCGCACTTCTTCAAAAACCATGCCAAGGGACCATATGAGACAGCAAACTGTTCACTTTAACATGGAATTAAAATAAGACAATAAGAATATAGGACATAGGAATTAGGAGCAGGAATAGGCAATTCAGCCCTTTTGAGTCTGCTCTGCTATTTAACATGAATATGGCTGATCTTATCCTGGTCTCAACTTCACTTTCTTGCCTGCTTCCCCATTGCCCTCTATCTTGCTTTTCATCAGAAACATGTCTTTTTTTTCTTGAATCTGATGATTGATTCTGCCTCTGGGGCAGTGAGTTCCACACATTCACAACCCTTTCAGAGAAGTAGTTTCTCCTCACCTCAGTTTTGAATCTACCATCTCTCACTCTATATCCATGATCTCTCGTTCTAGACTGTCCCCAATAGTTTGTGCTGGTGAAACTCAGCAGGTCTGACAGCATCTGTGGAGGAAGAGTTACTGTTTTGAATCTGGTATGACTCTTCATGGGAAATGAAGCAGTTCTGAACTGTCACATTGGACTGAACAATGAAGTCTGTTTCTCTCTTCACAGAAGCTGCCAGAGCTGTTGAATTTCTCCTCGCGCTTTGTTTTCATCTCAGATTTCCAATGCTGGGGCAGGATCTGGCATCTATCTCAGGTTGATGTCTCCTCTGAAAGAGAGCACTTCAGGCAGTGTAGTTCTTCCACAGTACTGACGTCTGGAGTGGGATATGAACCCAAAACCCTCTTGATGACAGTCCAAACTGCTATGCACCAAGTTATCCCTGAGAAAACACTGCCTTGTCCAGAGCTGCATCCAACATATGATGTGGAAAGTGGGTAGTTTTTGATGGAAAAACACAGATGGTGTAAATCAGACAATACAAGCATCCTTTATCACAAAACAAACCCAGTGTAAACCGATTTTAGACCATTTCCCTTTCAAGAATCAGTTTTGCGTTTTTACTACAGTAACAAGCACAGTATTAACAACTGACTTTTCAATCCTTGCTTTTTTTCCCCCCAAAAATACACAAAGAAAAGATTAAATCATCGTCTCCCATTTACTGAAATTTTTCAAGAAGTGATTCTCCAAACCCTCAAGAAGGTGCCAGTTTCTCTCAGCAAAAGCTGTTGTAAAGTTCAGGTGCAGCAGCCTCACATCTATCTCTTCCTCCCCTTGCTCAACATGTCAACTCAAGGGAGGGAGGGGTGGGTGGTCAATGACCATCAGTCAACAAATGTCCAGGGGCAAGTTCTCCTCTCGCCACCCATACTTTGTCCCTTGGTCAACTTCTTCTCTTCCAAATGACACTTCTGGAGATGGAGAACCATTGGGTGTCACATTGTTGGAACAGACATCAAAACAAGAATCTGAGCTGTGAGCCTGATAGCCAAGGAGCCAGACATCAAGCAAACTGGAAGCTTCATACAATTCCATTCCCATGTCAAAAAATTGTCTTCAGTTTCCACGTTTAACTTCCTCTGAGATCACATTCTCTACACATTTTCCAGATGCTTTCAGTTGTCATGGCACACAGGGATTGCTCTTTTTCAGCTCCACGTAGACAATCTGATATAAACATTAGTTCCAGTTTTCCAAAATGAAACACAAAATATTTTCGGAAACACGAGAGTCATTGGGTGCTTTGTAACTAACCTACATGGTTACAAAACTCTGCAACTGTAACCTGTATCAGATTAACACACACACAGTCGTCCTGTTAATACCCCCCATATCCTAAGGAAACATACTTTCTTTCTCTATTATACATCAGACATATATTTACATACTGTAAAAGCGAACACATTGCTTCTTTTTTCTCTTTAATACACTTTGTTTGTGCTAATGGCTGTCATGTCAACTCAGGCAGATGTAACTGCTATTGGAACAGCGATGATTCATAAAGCATTCTCTCTCCACTCTATTTCAAAATGCAAAAATAAACTGTGCACATAGTCTGTATACTTATCGATACTTTATATTTTGTTTTCCTTCCTGCATGAGAAATAAAAGTAATTTGCAAAAAGACAAGTTATATTTGCACAAAAAAAGACTTGCTGCACCCCCAGTACCCCACTTCTGTTTGAAATCACATATATTAAATCACTTCATTTAAATTCTTGCCAAAAATTCCATAAAAGTTCGACTTAATAATTAAAAAAAACGAAATCTGTTTTCATGGCCCTGCTTGGTTTGCATATAAAACACCCCTGATAACTGAGTCTTCCCATGCTCCAGAAATACCGTAAGGACTTGTTCAGATTTGGCACAGATGAAAGTTGACTTCTAAATATAGTTGTGAGATTTGTGTAAAGTTACCCAAAATAGACACTCAAAGGGTTATTATTTGGGGTAGCCATGGTGTCAACAAATAAAATTAGTGTGGTTCACTAGTGTGATATCCTTTCCCTTTTACTGCAACCCTCTCTGACACATACAAATATTGCATGTGCAAATCTGGCTGTTATTTCCTTAACAATAATAATATGCTCAACATAATATCAATAGTTCAGTTGTTGTCTATGTGTTTAGTATATTTCTAGGTTCAGCATCCAATTTATTTACAAATGCCATTAGAGTTTTATCACCGTTAGACTAATTCAGCCTTTAGCACCCATTTCTGCCGGAAACTCCTTCTCATATTGGATTTTTTTAAAAGTCATTTTTAAAATAAAAATCACTTTTTATCCTTAACCTCTGCTCATGCTGATCTTAATTAAAAGCACCAATATTTCTGTAAACTTTAGGAGGAATAAGTCCACAAATCTTTCATAAACACGAGCTGGTTTGAATTGGTTATGGTACAGAATGGTTGAGGGCTGAATGACCTAACCATGAGACATAAGGCAGAGTTAATAACTGCAAGACCAGCTCTGTATGCACACTCCAAAAGGATCTGTTGCATCTCAATCTACACATATTCCCAGTGCAAATGCATATTTCCACTGCAAAAGCAAAACTGAATGGGGAAAACTAAAGTACTGTCCCAGAAATCAAATTCAACTGAAGTGGGATGGCACCAGCAAAACCTATCCACCACCTCCCAAACAATCCCAAATGACCAGTTTGCTGGTCCTGTTGTCATTTTTATTTTCCCCTGCTTCCTGAAGGAACATTACAAATCCCTTCCAGTGAAAATGTAAGTACAGATTTTATATCACATTCCTAGGCCCAAATGTTCACAGTATAACTAAAAAAAAAAAACTCACCTGATAATTACATTTTCAGATGCTGGCTCTTGTTCAAAAAAAATAAAAACGAATTCTCCTAATTTAATTTTTCAACATCTGAGTGGATTGACAGCTGCTTAACGGAGGCAGCTCCTGATCACTAACATCTCCTACTTGCTAAACCCAAGAGAAATCCAACTGCTTAGGAGAAGAAGTAGAAGTTTGCCAATGGCACTGTGCCATATGCAAACAAGGACTAGGGTAATATTGGATTCTGCACCTTGTTTTTCTTTAAGCAAAATAAAAAAACTCAAAATAATGCAACAATCTGATTCAGCACCAAGATTGTATGGCACACTGCTTATTGAAAATGGCACGCAATTTTGAAGAGTCAAAGAATCTATCACTAATTATTGGTTTATTTCGTTAGCAGAGCTGGTTGGACCAAAAAATAAATCTGAACAAGTCCTGCTAGTGGGGCTGTAAATCTGGAGCAAGGGTACATAGCAGCAATGAAAAAAAAAGAGAAGGATTTTTGGAGCAAGTCTTAATACACACTTCAGAATATAATTTAATTTGCAGAGGAACAATGCTGTATCATCTGGTGTTGTTCAGTTGTAGGCACGTGTTGTGTCTATTGACAAATACACAAACACGCATACTTTGTATGGATTTTCTGCTTCACAGAATCAACAGATGAACACTAACACCCTCTCCTTCGCTGCTGGAGCTGTTGGAGATCACAGCACAGGCTGGAGTATGGACAGCTGACTGATCACCACTGTCTGCTGCTACATAATTGTCAAAGCTCAGACTTCTTTTATTGCTAAAGTATAATTTATTCCCTTTGCTCATGTTAGACTTTTTTTTAAGAAAAAGAAGTACCTTGTCAGCAGTGGAGCATCTATAAACGCACACCCATCTTTTGTTCTGTGTTTAATGAGTAATTTACTCTCCCAAACCAGCTAAGATTTACGGCTCTCCAATTTCAAACCAGATTGTACAAATCTGAAATAAAGACAGAAAGGACCAGTCTGGTAGCATCTGTGGGGAGAGAAACAGACTTGGAGTCTGAAAGAGAATCACACTGGACTCAGAACTTCAAAACTCTGTTTCTCTCCCCCCCCACAGATATTGCTGGACCTGCTAAGTTTCTCCAGCAATTCCTGTTTGTCTCTTTTTATTTTTTTTTTTCACAGGTTGGCCATCCCTAGCCGCCCTTGGACAGAGTGGCTTGTTCTGAATTTGCTCTCTGGAATTATATTAAAATATAACTCATATGCTGATTTGTTTAATAAAAACCAACCCGAATCCTTACAATTTCTAAGAACAAAACAAATCACAGGGATGAATCTTACTTTGCCACATTCTGATTCAATCATGGAAACCCTAAAATCAGCTGCTTTCTGTGCCAAAGGGGTCTGACAATTACATGTGTTTTTAAAAAAAAAGTATATTTACATCTAATTTCTGGGGCATTTTGCTTTCCCTGTGTTTTGTTATCGCTCAGCTCCTTACTCTTCTCTCACCCACCTCCCTCAATTTCCAATTTGAACATGTAGGTTTTTAAAAAATACAAGGAGGCGACTCTGCAAATGCAAAGTGAAATGTGGCGGATGTCAATTACATTGGTGGTCAGTCAGCCTTCCGGGGGAGAGAAGGTGGAAAGGAAGAGATAGATGGGAAGGGAACAAACTCTAAACGCATTTAGACCCAGAAGAGAATACTGTGAAATACTGAGAGGAGCACATATACTAATATCTGAAAGAAACACTGAGGTAGATTGTCCCAGAGAATTACATCGCACCACATCCTTCTCCCCATTTTCTCATCAGCAACAATACATTTTCAAACCCTAAACCCTTTTTTTTGTTTTTGTTTTGTGTAGACTGTAAATTGGGATTCTGTACAGTGATCTCTATAACATTAATAAAAATAAATAAAATATTAATTTTTTTGAATATAAGAAAATCTTCAGAATTACAAAAGTGTGTGAATTTTCTCTCCGGTATTGTAGTGTGAGACAGCCACTAGATGTATATTAGAGTGAGGGGCTGTCTTGGTTTCTACTAGATAATTCATATGCTACACAGAGATATAGGCACCTTAAGAGCGAACGACTTCACACTATTTACAAAGCAAAATCTGTTAATAAGCTCATTATTCCCCCCACTCACTATTAACCGTAGACTTAACCCCCATCCCCCACCCAAAGGCAGCACAATTATACACTTGAAAACCATCCTGCCCTACCTCGTCCTTTCTGGCTTTGAGTCACTTGTCCCTATCCTTTCGTCTACTCCATCCTCCCCTCTGGGATTCAGGTTTCAAATCTTGACAACAATGGCTAAGGGGAAAGCCATACCTCTACTCAACAGATGTTGCTCAGTTGATGTAACACATGCAGAAATCAACCACCCTTCTCCCTTCAGCTTTCTGGGGGCATGTGGCTGTGATGATTGACTTCCACCCTATTGGCATAACATCAACCCCAGCCCCACACCAAAACCAACCCCATTCCCTCAGCTCCATACCTACATTCCTCCTCCTCCTGAATTCCTCAACAGACAGCACTTGTGGCAACAACTTCATTATTTGGACCAATGCAGCTCAAGCCAAGGGCACATCACCATCAGCACAAGAATCATAGAATCCCTGTAGTGTAGATAGAGTCCACTGAATCTGAACAGAATCCCACCGAGACCCCGCTGTAACCCCACATTTAACATGGCTAATCTAGCTAGCTTGCACATCTTTGGACAGTGATAGGGAACTGTGGGATTTGTCAAAGGACAACCAGGGATGTGAATTAGATGTCAGACTCAGCCAGTAAATCCAGCATTCACTGACATATTAGTATTCAGTGTCCTTTGTAGAGTTCCAGTTTTTTTGCCTCTGGTCCCCAACACCCTCCATGTGGGCTTCCCAGCTGATCCTTCATGAATGAAATGGAACTGACGGGCTAGCTGGGTCACTGTTATCATGGGTTAGGGTTAGAGAGAAAGGACATGGCAAGTCCTTCCAAACAAACTGCAGAAATGTGAAAAAATGAGAATGAGCCACAATAAGCAGTAAAACACTCTTTGCAACAAGCTGCAACTTGACTGGTTGTCCTGCAATATTTACGGTACCAGGTTATTTGCCTTAGCTGCATTCGGACCCTGCTTCACACTCTCCCAATGCCACAGCTCTGCAGTTCCCACTTTATACACATTGTCTGTAATTTTATTCCATTTCACATATATCTGGCTAGGTCAGTATGCCTTGTCCATTTCCACCAGCCCTTGAGAAGATGATGGTCACCTTGAAATACTACAGTCCGTAAGCTGTATCTACACTCATGGCGCTGTTAGGAAGGCAGATGGAGGCAAGATATTATTATGGATGTGACCAATAATTTTGTTCAATTGAGACTACATTTCAATAAGTAAGCCTTGTCAGATTATCGATTAGGGAGCCAGGTCAGGCAGCAGTGTGCAGAATATGTTTTGCTGGTATCAGGTCTACCGCTGTAAGACAAATAGGGCATCCTGTAAGCACAGTGATCACTTCACACTTCCTGCGCCCATTCCTTCCAGCAGTGAGCTTGGGATGGAATCTGACTACAGCCATGGAAAATAAGAATTAAAGTGTTCGCTTGGATGCTTACTGGAGGCTATGGAGTGTGGAGACCTGAACAACACAAGCTATTTTTGTTTTATATTAAACAGCTCCTGATGGAAACAACAGTGAGTTACTGATGACTGTCATATTTTTCACTTAAGGATGGGATATTTCAACATAGACCGATGTTACTGAAGCTTAAAATTTACAGAAACCCCATGGTGAATTAAACCCCACTTCAATCTATAGAATCTGGGGGGGGTGGGGGTGGTGGGTTGGGAAAATATAACCTTCTGCTTGGCAAAAAGACAAGTTTAAACCTGATCATGTAGAGAAAACAAACATCTCAATGATTGAAGTGGGTAAATAGCTTGGGTTGGAATCATCTGGTCAGATTTTTCAAACACTATGTGAGCCAGTCAATCTGGAGCCATGAGAGACATTACAACACAGAATGAGGCCATTCAGCCCAGACTCTATGCACAGTGTGCATTGCCAGTCGATATTTGCTCACTTACAGGCTCCCTTTTCCCTAATCCCTGCTTTTGGCCGGGCAAGAGCTTCCATCGCACAATTCCAAAGGACTTATAAAGGGTTGTGGAGACAGGCAAGCTCTGTGTTGAGCAGCAGCAGGATAGTTATCCACTAAAACAGAGGGAGGCATTGCTGTAGCACAGTCACGGCACAAGCTATCAATGGAGCTTGGGTATTAGGTAAAGCACAAATACTGATACAAGAAGCATATGGCACTTCATCAGTCTTATTTACATTAAAAGTTTTCACCTTGTCTTCTGCTCCACCCTGTTCTGCCTGCACAGTTGTTTCCTACATCTTTGTATCGAATGCATGGATGGGCTCTTGTAGGTTTTCTGAGCCTCAACTAGTCACCTGTGTGTTTGTATTTCTAGCAAACACATCATCCCCTCCAGCCCAACTCTACTAGGCTAAACTCACAAGGGAACAAACGTAGCAAAACAGAAAGTACCCTTCTGCCCAGAGTCTGTGCTGACCCCCTGTAGAGCAGCCCAGTCAGGTCCTTTCTTCTGATCTACCCCTACAGCCTCACAATTTATTTTAAATCTCTCTCAACATCTCATTCAATTTCCATTTAAAATTATTATTCCAACAGACATGTGCTTGTCACTGGCTGAAGGAACACAAGTTCCTCCTCCATTACCGACAGGGGACACAAGCCAGGAATCTCTCTCATTTCAGTTTGTCCCCAGTTCCCCTCCACTTCTAGGTGGTGGGCAAGGGACAGTGGAGAAGAGGGATTTAGAGATCTTGGGTTGGTATGTACAGAAGCTGAACCCCTCTGCTCCCTAACACAAACAGGGAGTTCAGGCAAAAACAAAATCAATTTTAGTGTGAGGAATACAGATAAATTTGATTTTTTTTGTGTCTAAAAGCTTAAGCGTCACTGGGCTTTGTGTACTTTGCACAAACCCATGACATTTTTTTTTCCCTGATGTCTGTCAGGATAGCAGATTATTGATCACGACACAAGATTTACAAGTCATGAGTTGACCTGTACGTTAGACAGAACAAATGATCAATTAATTCTCTGTGGTTTCAGATTTTAGCCTAACAACACACAAACATATCAGGGACCACAATAATTCCTTCTCCAATTATTATGCAATGTAATTCCAAATATCTCTCTCTCCCTCTCACAAGTTTAAGATTAGAGTTGGTCCTCCCACCTTTGTTCTCTGCTATCTTCCAATCCAATTAAACATACATTGAGAATAAAGGGCAGGCAACTAGTTTATTCCTGGTCTGCGTTGATTTTACGTTGGTATCAAAATAGCAGTTGTAAGTTACCCTCATCCTGACCTAATCCTCCTCCCAAATCCTGCTCTAACTTGAATTGTATCTCTGCAGTCTTGAATGAGTGAGAAAAGGAGCTTAAAAGGCAATTGAGTTTTTGCCATTTGACGTGCACTGCAGTTATGAAAATATGGCACATTAGCTATTCCTTGGCTCACGCTTCCAATCCTAGGTGAACCACAGCTTTCACTTGCAAACACCTGAAACATCATATCCAAAATCTGCCTAATTAATCTCTTCCAGCTTTTTGCACCTTCCTGTCCTCACTCTACCAACTCAAATAGAGGCAGAATTCTTCTTGGAACATTCACCATTTCCTCCTGCTCATCTAATCCCCTTCAACACGGTGAGGCATAGAGATGATCTTAAGACCAGATCATTTCCTATTGGTCTTGCTGTTGAGCTCACTGACTTGCCTTGCCTCGTCTCAAAAGCCACAACAATAAAACTTTCAAGAGAGCTCTGATGAAACCTAAAGCAGAATCTGAAACCCAGAGTTTTGTTAGTTGTAGATATTTTGTTTCCTGACGCAATGTCCCTCAAACATCAGGGAAGTTGGGAGGGTGGGGGGTAAATTCTGGTATGCTAGTCCACATTTTACAAAAATAAATTGTGCCTCTGGGACTACTGGTCCCCAGAAACACACTTCTTGATTATTGCAAAGCTGTTCCTGGTGGAGAAAATACAACAAACATCAATTATGTACAAAAAAACATTACAAGTACAGGATTTGTCTTTTAAAACCCATAGACGAGAGAAAACAGCAACTATTGGTCTGAGAAACTGTTACCCAACCATTGCATCTAAAATGACCTCTAGCTGTGATTTTCTGTTTTTAGAATTATACATCAGTGTTAGGGTTTTGGAATTTGGTAGAAGATTCAGATTTACTTTCTTGTTTGTGTTCCGCAAGAATCCCACTGTTAAAAAGTTCACACTTCAGGAAAATGAAATTGGACTTTTTGTCATTTTATACCGTAGATACTTTCACGCTTAACCTTTCTTTCTAAAAGGAAATTGTTTTCCCCCAAAAATTGGGCTTAAACCTCTCAGCCTCAAGCACTCCACAGATGAAAGTTCAAAAGGTCACTTCCTGGCTAGGAACCACAGCAATGTTGATAGCAGCCTTGGAAATGCTTCACTGATATGATTTTGTTTTTGTGTGTCTATGTACACACGTGTAAGTGTGTGCGTGTCTATGTACACGTGTGTGTTCTGTGTGAGCGCTTGTGCATGTGCAATCGTGCCAATGTATCAGAATATAAAACTGTTTACAGGTGTTGAACTGTATGGGCGTGCACACACGTTTGCGCAATGTTATGTCTGTACATGTATGTAGGCACAATGTGTATGTGTACATGTTTCTACTGTTAGAGAATGCGTGTTTTGTTTCTTCACAGTTTGATTCATTTATAACCAGCCACTTGGCAGAAAAAAATATTTTTTTTTAAACAAAGGCAAAGGTCCTTTCCTTGTGTAGCAAACTGTGGCAGCCTTAATTGGGTCCCAAGGTTCTAAGGGCCCAACAACTAAAATTCAGAAAGAAATGGGAGGTAAAAGAAATGTTATGAAGGGCTTGACCTTGGCAAGGACAATATTCGCCCGTTCTTCTTCCCTCCGTTCATGTGTGTGTATGGTATGTGTTCATCATAGTTGCCTCTGAGACCCATGGTGGGGCCATTGTCCCGGCTGTGACTCAGGGGGGTCTCTGTCTGTGAGTAAGAAGACGGATCAAGTGGAATGCTTTCCATGTTCTCAAAATCCATGTCGTACTCCTCTGTGTCTGGTGGCTTGTTGTCCTCGCTGTAGTAGAAGGAGACATCTTGAAAACTCGGGTGAAGATCGTCCTTCAGCATCTCGATGATCTCCAAGAAAGTGGGCCTTGCTTTTGGATTGTACTGCCAGCACATCTGCATCAGGGTATGTCTGGAATCACAAAAGGAACACAGGAAACTATTACTGGAAGATCAAACACGAAGGAACTAAAAACAAAAGCAATCTCCACTTAGACAAAGAAGAATAAATTCTGCAAAAATAGCTGTAACATAAAGAATTATTGAAGCTTAGCGTGCTGGAGAAAAATAACATTTAGACCCATTATTGTCTATGCTAGTTCTTTGCTACAAGCAATCCAAACATAACTCTAATTCCAAGGTCCCATCCCAGTGTCAGTGTTGTCTCTGTTGGTACAGTACCACCCTGTACAGTGACACATTAGTGCATTAATGAGAGAGTGCAGCAATGTCAGAGGTGCTGCCTGTTGGATGAGACATTCAGCTGAGACCCTGTCGCCGTTTCAGGGGAATGCAAAAGATTCCATGATGCATTCTAGCAAAGAGCAACTCCCTGGTGTCCCCTCCCTTTACCCCTCATCCAACAACATAACAAAGGGCCTGCAGATTTTCTGTTCACTGTCATGTTGCTGTTTTCTGTAGTTTGCCATTTGCAAAAGTTTCGCATTTCCTATATCACAACAGTGCCGAAACAAAAAAAGCACTTCATGCGTGGCAAAACAGTTTGGGTTAGAGGAGGGAAGAGAGGAGAATGGGGAAAGAAAGGAGAGAAATTAAGGGACAGGAAGAGGGGAGGCAAGGAGAAAAGAAGGAAATGAATAGTGCAGTGCCTCAGAAATGGAATATTAGCTTGGGAAGTGGGGGGGATAAGAGAGAGACAGAATGAGGGTGAAAGTGAAAAAGGGAGGGGGAAGAGTGAGAGAGAAAGACAGAGAGAGAGAGAGCATGAGAGAGTGAGTGTGACAGAGAGACAGCGCGAGAGAGCGTGAGCGAGCGAGAGAGAGAGGGCGAGCGAGAGAGAGAGGGCGCGCGAGAGAGCAAGCAAGAAAGAGGGCGAGCAAGAGTAAGCGAGACAGAGTGAGTGAGAGGAATTGAAGTTTTGTGTTTCAAATTATCTGGGTTCCATGAGGAGCATGGCCTGGGATCAGTGATCACTGCGATATTTTAATCATAAATATCCCAGGTTGGATCCATACTGGGATACAAGCTCACTCAACTCAGCCAGAGCAATGGTAAGGATGCGAAAACTGGCATCACTAGGAACCAAGTCCACAGTCTATATTTGATGGAGATGATGGGCATAGGAGAAAGTTGGCTAACCAAAAACATGGATACTCACAATCGATCTGCGCAGTTATCTGGTCGATCCAAAAAGCCTCCATCCATAACAAACTTAAGAACCTGTTCATTTGACAGTCCTTGATATGGCTGTTCTGCTAGAGTGCTGACTTCCCAAAGCACAACTCCAAAAGACCTGACAACAAATGCAAGAGCAGTTCAAAATAACTTAAAATAGACTAACGGGCATTTCCAACCTCCATACTATTGTTATTAGAGTTACAGAAGACCACTGAGCCCTTTCTAAGTTCCTATGGAAGTTGATTCTGCACCAGCTCTCTGGTAATGCATTCCAAGTCTCAATGAGAACAATTTTCTCATTTTTTTTCTGGGTTTTTTTTTGCCAATTGCTTTGCATCTTTGACCTCTGGTAACTAATCAACTTGACGTAGGAAACTGTTACTCTCTACTTGGTCTATCATATTCCCATTCGGTTTGTCTCTTAACCTTCTGTGATCTAAGGAGAAACCTTCTAATTTCTACAATTCTCCACATAACATGTGTATTTTTCTCTTTATTCCTTCATGGGACGTAGGTTTCACTAGAGTGCCTAACAGTTGCCCTTGAAATGAGTGGTTTGCTAGGTTATTGTAACCTCAGATTTCCTTTCCTAAAGGACACTAGTGAACCAGATGGGTTTTGACAACAATCACTGACAGATGTCACCAGTACTGAGACTATAGCGTTACATTCCAGATTTATGACATGAATTTTAATTCCACCAAACTGTGGTGAGATTTGAAACCATGACCTTACTGAGTGCTAGACTTTAAATTACCAATCTAGTGACTTTACCACACCATCACCATCTCAATCATTGATATTGCCTTGGTAAAACTCTCTACACCTTTTCAGAACCTTGAAATGTTTCCTAAAATGTGGTTTCCAGAATTGCTACACAATACACCAGCTGCAACCTAGCCAACAATTTGTAAAAGTTTAGTATCACTTCCTTACTTAAAAATGTTATTTCTCTATTAATAAAGGATCTCTTATACGTTTTACAACTTCAGAGTCCTCACAAGTTGTCCTACCACCTTCGAACATTCCCAACTCTCTTTGTTTCTGTATCTGCTTTAAAATAGCACCATTTATTGTTCCGCAAATGTTTCATTATCCTGCTGGGTAACATCATCAGTGCAGCCTCCGATGAAGTGCCGTTGTGTTTTCCCGCCTGGTTTTTAAACTCTGGAGTCCGTTGAGCTGGATTGTCTCACTTCCGGTTTTCCTTCGTAGTGGAGTGTATATAGGGTCTAGCACGATGTGTTTGTTGATGGCCTTCTTAGTGGAGAACCAGGCCTCTAGGAATTCCCGTGCTTGTCTTGGCTTTGCTTGTCCCAGGATCTTGGTGTTCGACTGGGACAACACCAAGATCCTGGGACAAGCAAAGCAGAGAC